TGGGTGCTTCTGTCCTGGGTGCCGTGAGGGAGGGGAGAGAGACATTGATGGGAAGAAAGAGAAAGGAAAAGGGAAGGAGAGGAAGTGGGGGAGGGAGAGACAAAGGAGAAAGCGGGGGGGGGGGGGCACATCCTCCTGAGTTCAAGGGGAAATCAGCCTTTTGCTGGCAGCAACTCAGCAGAAAGGCCGTGACGCTGGGGCAGGGTTGGGCAACCAGGGCCTGCCCTTCTCGTTTCCCCCAGAAGAGCTTTAACCAAGGGCTCCCTCCTCGACGGGCAGAGCAGCAGCACCATGTGGAGAGTCGGGGTGCTCCTCTTCTGGGGTGAGTGTGGGATCCCTGGGGGAGAGCTGGTGGAGGTGGGGCTGGGAATGGTCGCCGGGAAACGGGAGGGCCCCGGTGGGCCCGGCAGAGCAAGGCGATTCCAGGATGGAATGCTGCAAACACCTTCGCTGGGGACCTTTGACAAAAATGCCCGGACCCAGGGGGTTCCATCCTCAGGGTTGCTTGGGTGACATGAGTTTCCCGAGCAACTACTCTACAGCCCGGGGCTGCTGTGGGCATCAGGCACGCAGCAGCAGACCTGTGCTCCCACATCTGAAGCACAGCGTGTGGGGGGGGACAGAAGAGTCACCGATAGTGATAGCAGGGATTCCAGGTTCGACAACACAGGACACAGTCTCCACAAGACCCCCCATGTTGTTGGGCCACCCTGTCAGCCCCCACCCCCTGCCCCGTTACAAAGTGGGGAACTGGGTCGAAGGAGTGGGGATAACCTGCCCAAGACAGGGGCTTGCGAGGATGCCAGGGCAGGCCATCTGGAGCCACATTTGCCACCAAGAGTCTGTGAGTGAAAGCATTCCAGGTAGTGGTAAGCTCCAGGAGAGGAGCTGTCACAAGAATGGGACTTTGAGGCATTCAGGAAGGACCTTTCCCAGGACTGACATTTGTGCTGAGGCAGGAAACGTGACACCACTCCCCTCCCGTCCTGGCTCTTGCTTCTCTGCCTTCAGGCGTCAGTCTGTCTTGCTCTTGCTCATCTTCGCTGTGGCTGTTTCTCTTTGTATGACTTGCCAGATTTTTCCATGGGTTCACATTGAAGAATGGGGGACCTTTTCGGAACAGCAGAGTGGATGTCCTCTGCTGGTGCCCAGTGGATCTGTTCTCCTGGTTTATAGAGGAGGAAACTGAGGCAGGGACAGATTAAATGACCTTCCCAAGGCCACACAGCCTTCGGGGACCCAAATCTAAAACCCAAGCCCTTGGCCGCCAGTGTCTGAGGTCTAAACACTATGCTCTGTTGCCTCCAAGATGATTAACCAGCAAGAGAATTTGCATTAGGACAGTGGACGGGAATGTTGGGAGTTGGGGACGGTGGGGCTTGTCAACTGGATGGCTTCTTCAGAAGGAGCAAGTGGCTTGCAGAACTCAAATGTGGGAAAGCAGCGCTGTCAGTCTGGGGAGTCGGGACCGGTATCTGCCATCAGCACCCCTTATTCTGAAGTTCACTAGTACAGACCCAGCATCATGACATTTTGATGTTGATGATGGTGGTGATGGTAATGCTCGTGAAGCTGATGATGGCAACGATGACGATGGTGGTGGTGATAATGATGAAAATGTCAGTGGTGGTGCAGATGGTGGTGGGGATGGTTGTGGTGGTGGAGATGGTGGTCTTGGTGATGGAGCTGGTATTGAGGATGGAGACGGTGGTGGTGGTGATAGAGATCATGGTGTTGGTGATGGAGATGGTGGCAGTGATGATGATGATGGTGTCGTGATGGGATGGTCATGAGTTGGAGATGGTGATGGAGATGGTGGTGATGATGATGAAGATAGTAGTGGAGTTAGAGATGGTGTTGGTGATGGAGATGGTGTTGGTGATGGAGATGGTGTTGGTGATGGAGATGGTGATGGTGATGGAGATGGTATTGATGATGGAGATGGTATTGATGATAGAGATGATATTGGTAATGGAGATGGTGGTGTTGGTAATGGAGATGGTGGTGTTTGGTGATAGAGATGGTATTGATGATGGAGATGGTATTAGTGATGGAGATGGTATTGGTGATAGAGATGTTGTTGGTGCTGGAGATGGTGGTGTTGGTGATGGAGATGGTGTTGGTGATGGAGATGGTGTTGGTGATGAAGATGGTGTTGGTGAAGGAGATGGTGTTGGTGCTGGAGATGGTGTTGGTGCTGGAGATGTTGGTGATGGAGATGGTGGTGTTGGTGATGGAGATGTTGTTGGTGCTGGAGATGGTGGTGTTGGTGATGGAGATGGTGTTGGTGATGGAGATG